CGCCACCCCCCGCACCAGCCAGGCCACCTGTGGCTCTTCCACCCCCGATCAAGCCCCCGCCACCCCCCGCACCAGCCAGGCCACCTGTGGCTCTTCCACCCCCGATCAAGCCCCTGCCATCCCCCGCACCAGCCAGGCCACCTGTGGCTCTTCCACCCCCAGTCAAGCCCCCACCATCCCCCTGTACCAGCCAGGCTGTCCCCGTCCTACATCCCACCAACCTACCTTGCCTTCTGGCTGGTGGCGGTGGTGTGGAGGTGGCGGCAAGCAGAGGGAAGGCTGCATATGCATGCTGCTTCCTGCTCCTCCTGGCCTGATTGAGGGCTCCTGGGAGCTGGGGGTGGGGCTTGCTGCTCCTGGGTTTCTTACTGTCGGAACGGTGTTCCGACTCGTTTCAGCTGCAAATGAGGCCTGATGTTTAGAAAGGCTTTTTCCTCTCCTTTGCAGCTAAGCCGCATTGAGTGTAATTCTGAAAAAAATAAAATCATTTGGGCTATTTGAAAGACAATAAATTAGTCTGCAAGAAAAATGCAGCTGTATGTCATTGTTCGGAGCAGCCATGAATCCCTTATTCAGAATGAGATCTAATAATCGGAAAGAGCAGGAGCTTACATTAACTTAATTACTGTGATCCATTTTAAAACAATAATTGTAACATTTAAGAAATAGTTAATGCTTACAGGAAGCTAGCGGCTTGGGAATTAGCATGATCTAATTAGACGACTGTACTCAGCAGCAGCATGGCTTTTAAGTTGGTTCATGCGCAGCAGCAATTACATATACTGATTTGTTTTGTATTGCTCATGGGACCAGCCTAAGATATTTTGGTGGTTGAGGTGGAAATTCTGTTCTGCATTTGTGTAACCCCCCCCCCCCAATTTTGGTAGGAATTGCATTTGAGCAAGGTTTGTCTATTCCCCAAGTTCCGGCTACTCAGTGGCCATTTCCCTCATAGCAAGACCACTTTGTGCTTCTGTGGAGAAACCTGAGGAGAAAATAAGCTTTCTTTCTGTCAGTGAGGTCAATTATCCTGGTGGGGCAAGTTGGTGAAAAGAGAAAAAAATGTTGCTGGGCCAGTGTCTGAATTTGTATGTTTCTCTGACAAGCTCTAACTTGCTGACGAAATAATATATGACAGGGCAGAGGTTGGAGGGGAAATGTAGAAACAAACAGGCACCAAAAAAAAAAGAAGAAAAAAGAAGAAGAAGCTAATGTGCAACATTTCCACTCCTTCCCTTCAGACTGAGAAATAATCAGAGGGGGGAAGAATAGCCAAACAAAATGAACACGCTGGCGGTTTGAGACCTCCTCCCACCCAGCACTTTTTTTGTTATGTGTGTGTGTACATAATCGGGAGTCACTCTGGCAGCTGCAGTGCATTAGTTCCAATACTTTGACAGGCAGCCTGGTTGCTCCGGCACAGAAGCTCTTTCGTAGCACACCGTTCCTTCCCTCTGCGCTCACTCGCAAGTAGAGTCAGCCAGAGTGGCTGGTCTTTGGCTAGAAGAGGAGTGGCGATGTCTAACAGGCTCACTGGAGGAGTTTGCTTTATTATTTTCCCCCCACTGCTGTTCATTATCTGTGCACTCTGAGGGGAGGAAAAACCATGCAGAAATCAGAACAGGCTGAATCAGAGTTGAAGCTCTGCGCGGTGGCTCAGAGTCAGGAATGATAAGCTAAAGAACTCTCTCTATATATATTTTAAAGCTGCAAAAGGAAATATCATATTGCATTATAGAAACTTCCCTAATATAGTTGCTTTGGGAACATGGATCAGCAAACAACAAGCCCAGACACTTTGACTGTACCTGAAGTGGATAATCCGCATTGTCAGAACCCATGGCTCAACGAGGATCTTGTGAAGACACTGCGGGAAAACCTGTTGCAGCATGAAAAGCTCAGGACGTCCAGGAAGTCTTCTTCCATCTCTCCTAAACTGTCACCGGTCATTTCTCCCAGGAATTCTCCAAGGCTTTTGCGCAGGATGCTTTTGAACAGCAACATACCGAAACAGCGGCGGTTCACTGTGGCACATACCTGGTAAGAATGGCATCCTTCCCCACCCCCCGCCCCTCTTGTTTTTTTAGCTTGGCGTGGCATTTTTTTAAAGTTATTTTTCATGCCAGATTCCAAAGAATTAAACAAAACTTCCAGCCAATAAGGACAAGAGAAGCAGTAAACATTTATGAAGGAATCCAGTTCCTCCGAAGCCATTTCTCATTTTAAAAATGGATCAAAATAAACTGTATTCCAGATAACAAAAAAGGGAAGTCAGCTCTGCTGCGAAAACTGCATTTCCTTTCTGATTTATTTTAAAGGTTGCCTTTTCCTCCTTCCCCTTCTTTCTGGCCAGTTTTACGTGAGGAGCATGAAAAGAACATGTTTGTTGGACTGGCTGCTAAAGTTAGAATGATGTTGAGGGGTTCCCCCTTGTACTGTTTGTAGGAGACCAGTGACTCAGATTGTTAAATCTTGAGGTATATTTCTCTATGAAAGCTAAATGGAAGCAGAGATGGCAAGCTCACAGTGAACCTCTAAGTCCATGGATTCAAATAATGGTTACAGGAAAGGGGAATGAAATAATTTACTTATTTTATATATAAGGGGGAATGGATTAACTTATTTTATATATAATAAAGTTGTTCCATTCCCCCTTACGTATAAAATTATAGATAATGTATTCCAGCAAAGGTACTGAAATTATGGATAACCTGCCCTGAGCCTGCTTGTGGGGGAGGGAGGGGTAGAAGCCTAATAAATAAATAAATAAATAAGTCTTTTGCAGCAGCAGCTGGTCCTGTTCATGTATGTCTTTCTTTTAAGTAAAATCTGTTACTTAGGTCTGTCTCTTAGGTATTTCCATTGGCTTTTGTTTGAATAGTTTTGACATCTGTTTGATGTGATCTGCTGCTTTAAAATGTTGGCTAGCTTTTTAATCCAGTTTTTTTTTTCTCTTGTAAAAAATAGCAATGTGATTCTGAGAATGATGGTGTAATGGAGAGGGGAGAGGAATCGTGTGTGTTGCTCAGAGAGCAAGTCTTGCAGTCATGTTGATTTCATTTTTTTTCCAATTTGTTGAAGAAGCATAGACATATCCTAATTTGTGTGTGTGTGTGTCACTAGGTTCCGTAATTATTTTATATATTTATTACTTGCTTGTCAGCTAAAAAGCCTCTCAATAACAACATGCATTCTTTTCCTGTTTATTAGCATTGATGGGCTTTAGCAGGCTCTGGTGGAATGCTAGTTGCCTAGGGACTGCAGATAAAGAGAAAGACATTGGCTTCAGCCACTGGCCAGTGGTCCAGGTGATATTGAGCAGAGGGATTTTATTTTGGCATATCTCCACATACGTTCCTGTGTGTCAACTATAGCCTTCGGGTTGCCACACACCAGCTGTTCCCCTGCTTAAGGTAGCTCACCTAGGGGCCAAATGTAATCCTGGGTGCAAAATGGGAATTCTGTGGGAATTCAGTCCTTGACGGTCATGGCGAGATCTTGGTCCGTGTGCCCTTCTTTCTTTGATCGTGCCTAGAACGTCTTCCAACATCAACATTCATCAAGATGTGCCTTCATTGATTCATAGACATTCCAATGGATTCATCAATTTTCACAAAAGGGAGAAGTACTCATTCCTGATACTCTCCAGACCATAGTCAATGAATAGCCTGCATTCTTTGACTATGGTCTGAAGAGTATCAGGAATGAGTACTACTCCCTTTTGTGAAAATCGATGAATCCATTGGAATGTCTATGAATCAATGAAGGCACATCTTGATGAATGTTGATGTTGGAGGAAGTTCTAACGAAACGGAAGATTGACTCCGGAGAATTTCGTCACATCATCTGTAACAACACAAAATATTTGTTGTATTACTGCAAATTTGTATTTTTGCATTTACTAACCACTACAAGTTCTTCAAATATCATTATTACTTGCTTGCACGCTTTGCAGTATTTTTTGTTCATCTCAGGGTATCTGTACTGTAACCCCTTATTTTGCTATAAGGTAGCTCACCTGGCATTTACCAGAGCCTATGTTTGTTTGTTTGTTTTCTGTAGTACTTCCTACCCTTTCGAGTGGGCTCCGTGAGGAGGTGAGAAGGCACCATCTTTAGACGTTTTTAGGGGGCACTGCAAGGTTTTTTTTAATTTGCTAAGGTTTTTCTAGGGGTGTGGGCTAAAGACAGTTTGGGAGGGGGGGTTACCTGGGATTTTATTGTACTTTGTATGTTTTAAAAAGTGGAATTGTAAGCCACAATGAGCCACAAGGGAAATCTTTATTTATATTTTAATAAATAAAAATCTAAGCTACTCTTTGTAATACCTCACCCGGAGAATCCTTTGATTTAAAGGTGGGATGTAAAACTTTAAATAACATATTAGATAGGGAGACTGTATCGTCCTGGCTCCTCTGGAAGGTGGTAGAATTTAAAGAACTGCCTGCTGTCTTGTCAGCAGGTGGGATAGGTTTGTGTGTGATGACTGTACAGTACCTAGGATATATATGCAACACACAAGGACAGATCAAAAAGCCTAGAATGTGAGCAGAAATGAGCATGCCAACAATGCTCTTGCTCACAGCTGAGCATGTTGGACCCATTCTCACCCATCCACATTCTTCTGAATGTGAGCATGCAAGTTGTGTCCTTGTTGAACACATACATGACCACGTGAAGGTACCTTATTCTGAGTTAGAGCATTGTTCTATGAAGGCCAATATTGTCTTCTCCGACAGGCAGCGGCCCTCCACGGTCTCAGACATAGGTCTTTCACCTTACCTGTCACCTGACCCTTAACTGGAGATGCCAGATATTAAACCTGGAACCTTCTGCGAGCCAAGCAGATATTCAGTCACTGAGCTGTGGCCCCTCATAGGCAAGGATGAGGTGACCATACTTAGTCACAAGCAGGAGATGGTGCTGGTCTGTTCATTCCCACTTGTCCTCTGCATACATTGGCTTGTACCTCAATATGTCATGCATACAGGGCTGCTGTGTGTCCAAAAAGTAAATCAGACTGGAGAAGAATTGTAGACGGTAAGGCCACAAAGCTATTTAAATAAAACAAGCATACCACAGCATACTGTCTGGGAAGGATAGTTAAGTATATTAGAGGAAATTGCTATAAAACCAGTAGGAGTGCTGGAGAAATGGAGCCCTGGAGAAAACGTATGTAGGCTGTGGCTTAGTGGTAGAGCATCTGCTTGGCATGCAGAAGAACCCAGGTTCAAGCCCCAGCACCTCTTGTTAGAAGGACCAGGCAGTAGGTGATGAGAAAGACCGCTGTCTGAAATACCTAAGAGCCACTGCCAGTCTGAGTAGACAGTACTGACCTCCATGGACCAAGGGTCTGATTCAGTATAAGGCAGAGGCGTGTGATCATGTGAGGATTCAAAGACCCATCAAGGAATGACTTTTCCAAACCCATTGTCATGTCCAGTGGAATACAAAATACTCTGTGTATCAGTTTCTCTTCTCCTTACTCTGTTTTCCTTCCTTAACTGAAAGTCAACTGTCATCACTATTCCATACTTCAAATATCTCAACCTGTACTAGGCTTTTCTTGTGGGGGAGGGAATCTTCCTTGTAAAATGGGGATCCCCCCCCCTCAAAAATGAAGAAACCCCCATCTGCAGGTGGCTCTGTTTCCAATGGCTTCCTGTTAGGCATGGACTCATCCATTCAATATTAGGAAAAATGACGCTACTGTATTTGCATAGGAGAAGAATTTATGTCATTGTCCTGAATATCTGGAACAAATGTATTTCAGTATTAAGAATATATGAATGTGTTGGAATAGATGAAATGAGATTCAGGAATTTGTTCCCCTCCTTTGAGAACTCCTAATTACTGTAAATATATTAATCAATTTCTGATGGCTGGATGATATGTCTTGACCAGAGTTCCTTCGTGCTACACTTCTCACATTTGCAGTGCATGTTCTTTGATTTCTTCTGGGATTGTCTTCCGTGATTATTCTGTGTGGGGTTTTTTTTTTGTTCCAAATAACATTGACAGACAGCTGTACAATTCAACACAACCATTACTTGGACATGGCATGCAAAAATAAGGACTCTCTCCAGAGAGACTATTTAGGGAGATGAGTGGAATTGCTTCTTTTTAAACAGTAACATCCTGTTTCTGTGGCACTTTTACTGCTGAATGAATTGACGCCAATTACAAAAAATGTTGAATACGTTGCTGATGAGGCTCACACTTTGTATAGCAATTATATGCTGTGTCTTTTTGTGTTTAATAAAGACGGTACTTCTATATCAATCACTTTGGGGGCATCTGCCTCAAATCATACTACTGGCACAAGTTCTGTGCAAACGAATGAGATTTGTACTACAGAGTTATAAGGACATATGGTGCCTGGCTGGATCAGACCAGTGGTCCATCTAGTCCACCTTCCTGTTTCACGCAGTGACCAACCAGGTTGGCCTTGGAGGGGATCGAGGCTAAGGCTTTTCCCTGAGTTGCCTCCTAGCGCTGAGATTCAGAGATTTGTTGCCTCTGACTGTGGAGCTTTGTTTTGATCACCATGGGCAGCTGCTAATGGACCTATCCTTCGTCGATTTCTCTAATTCCCATTTTAAAGCCAACCGTGTTCCTAGCCCTACATCCACTGGCAGTGATTCCTGGAACTTTATTGCTCATTCACTGAAGAAGTACTTCCTTTGGGAGAAAAGTCCTGTCTATCTACTTTATCCACTCCATGCATAATTTTATAAATCTCTGTCGTGTTCATCCTTAGATGTCTTTTTTCTGAACTGCAAATCCCTAGAGGTTTTAGGCTTTCCTCATTGGAATGGTGCTCCAACCCCTTAATTCAGTCATAGATGCTGGGCGATTTCTCACTAGAGCTGCCTCGCAGCACAGCGCCGTTTGCCTCGACACAAACATGTCAATTTCACACCCGAAGCTCCAGGGCTTCATTTTGACTCGGGGCTTCGCCCGATTTCCTCCACAGTTTCGTGATCCTGGTTTTTGAGGATCATGAAACTGCGGAGGAAATCGGGCGAAGCCCCGAGTCAA